TTATTTACGTTGTGCTAGAAACTTGAAGTTATCTTTTATTGTTCTTGATGTCTTTAGTGATATAACCAAGAAGAATTTTCAAATCTTTTCAATTTTTACAAATGTAAAGTAGTATAAGAACTCGTTATAATTTGTATTTTTTATTACGTTTTTTTATTAATTTGCATGTTAATGTGTTTTATAGTTATGTTTTCTATTTGATATTAAAATATTTTTACATTATTTCCTATATTTAATAATGTTAAAAACCGATCAATCTTACCAAACCACACTAATCTGATTTAAGTTGAATTGGTTTGGTTATCATATAATAATGGATTGGATCGGTTTAAAAATTTTATTAATCAATTAAATTGGATTAGTTTAAAAAATATTAAAATCAATATTAATTTATACAAATTTATAATAAAAAAATATTCTAAAAATATATTTTAAAATACAATATATAAAAAAAAAAACCTTTTCTTATTTTCTTATTTGCCTTATTATTTTTCTCTAAAGATTTACGCGTTGAAAGTGACGGAGTACACGCCGCCCTTTGAAAGTTGGAGCACCTGAAAATTGCCGTCCCACACCCACTTTAATTAGTGGCCACAAAAATTAAAAAAACCCACTTTAATTTGCTGAGGAGGCTCACGTGTCCACTTAGCCCCAATAATTGTACTTTTGTAAAATTTTTAAAGTCGTCTATTGTGTCATCATAATGCACAGAAAATTCTCACATCTTGCGTAAGTTGCGTTGTATACTTTTGTTTTCTATTGCCAAATGCGCTGCACTTTGTTGAATGACGCCAAATTAAAAAATTTGTGTAAATTAAATAGTCATGGTATTAGAATAGGTAATTACACACCTGGTCTTACATGCCTATTGATTATCGGTGTATGTCCCTAATTTCATGGACTGAGTTAAACCCTTTCCTCTTATTTCAAAATTGTCCTGTTTAAAAAAAAAAAAAAAGTAATTAAAGAAAACTAAGATGGTTTAATAAATAAAATATCATAAATAATAATAAAATAATTAAAATTAATATATAAAAAATTTATTTAAAATATTTAAATAATTTTATTATTAAACTTATTATTTTAAATATCAAGAGGTTTTAATTTTGATTTTTTTCTTAAATAA